ATAACTCCCTTAGCGACACGGCCGATCCACCTGCCACCCTCTTGAGCCGTAATATCTCAAGTATGTGTGCCTGAAAAACGAAACGTCTATTATTAAACCTTTTCTCCAATAAATTAAGTGCTATGGCATAATTATCGTTTGTTATTTCCAATGATCGAATCGCGTCCAGCGCTGTATCCTTCAGGCACGATCGAAGATGCTGCAGCTTTTCGATATCTGCTAGATCAGGATGATTTTCTATGATGGTTGTGAACATAGAATAAAAGTCGGCCCATTCTGTGTAACCACCACTGAACGTAGGCAACTTTATTGAGGGTAGTGTTGGCGGTGCCTTTGCTCTAACTGTCTGCGAGGGCAGCACAGATTGGTCGCGAAATGTTGAGCAGGGCATATTTGAGACACGTTTCGCAATTTCACTCCGAACCGAAATTTCCATAGAAACTGCTAACTCGTCGAAGTCCTCACGCAATTGGTTACCGATTTCATCAAAGTCTACTTCTTCGAGGCTGGTGTGAGTAATATCAAATGAGGTCTGAAGCCGCTCGATTTGCTTCAGCCTAACACTAAGACCGCACTCATCAATTGCACTAAGTGTCGAATTAGTTAGAACATTTCGAAGTGTTTGCAAACTGTCATAAATTGAAATGGCTTTGCGCTTCAGAAAGGTCACCCTGTTTGCAGAGGGCACTGCACTAGAGGCATTATTTTCGGTTGCCATTAGAAGCGTGATAGAAAGCGCGTGCGAAACTAGCTGAGTAACTAACAACGGTGATCGCTAGTACATGCAAACCGTTCAAAAAACAATAGTTGTACAATAAGAACTTCGGCGAACGCAATTGTCAAGCTATGTAGTGAAGCAACGGCAATAGCTTTAACATAAGTACCGCACGAATGAGCAAAGGCTTTAAGCGACCAAGAGAGTAGGCAAAGCGACGGCGATAAGTATGTGTGTATATAAAGTGCACAAAACGAAATGCCAGGTGGTGTCTTTTAAGATTATTTCTTTAATGTAAAGCAAATAATCTTACAACAACAAAAATAAAATTCACGTTGGGGTCACCAAATGTTGCGCTATTGAGCTTTTTCAATAGCTTTCACAAATAAAAATAATTAACTATTTATTTTTTGTGTTCAAAATTGTTTTTTATTTCTTAAAGTTACGAGAAGCAGGCAGACCCGAATTGGTCTGTGCTTATTATTTAAGAACAATAGTTTGTATAAGCAAGCGAACCCGAATTAGTACGTGCCGATTTAAGCGAAGAGACAACTATTAGTTATAATTTTGAGTAATGCAAGTGGCCGATGCCTACCAAATGCATGAAACGAACTGACTTAACTAACTCGATGCGCAGCATCGAGGCCTTCGCATAAGTAAAGCTAGGGCAATAAAACGATCGTTACAGCGAAGAGCGGCAGCTCTATGTAAATGAATTCTTAAGAGCGAAATTTAGGCACTTGCTTTGCAGAGCGAGTATTATAAGATAAAATTAAGATGCTGCTCTTATCAGTTGCGAGGTCGCTCCAGTTGTTTTGGCTGCGTAACCAGACAATATATATATATATACATATATATATATATATATATATATTTGTTATATATTCTTTTTAGTGACTCCATTTATTGTAATTTTATGGGTATAAAAACGCATAAAAGGATTGATCTCCGACTGGACATATCTTATTAATTAAATTACGCAAATATATCAACTTTTGGCGGTAGGGATGCTTCTAATACGTTAGGACCTACATTGACTAAAATAGTTTGTATATATTGGTTATACCAAAGACAATATAAACACTAAGATGAGTAACGCCCATACATTTGAATGCGACGCAAAATTTATGGCCTGGCCTTTCATCTGGCCTTTGAGGCTTCGTACGGCATGCCTGCCGACTGGTTGTTCGTTCTCCAAAGACCAGACGAACGAATGCCGCAGTCGCGGCTTCCTGATGCTGACACGAGATACGAAGTTAGTCGCCAGCCTGCCTTCAGCAAAGCTGGTCGAGGTTGCTTTGCGTCGCTTCGTTTTCGAAGTACATTGAGCGAAAAAGTATAGAACTTACGATCGACGCAAAGTGCTTGTGCTTTATCCATGAAATGCATGCTTTATTTAAAATATATATTACCCTAGATATTAACGATTAATTTTACAGGAAAATTTAAGAACTTTTATAATATTTACACAAGGCGCTTCTTGCGCAATAACTATGTTAAGAAAATAGCACACCTAGATTGATTTCACTTTTCTTTTTGGACAGTGTATGCTCGAAAAAAGTTCTTGTCTCGGCCAATAGCGTGCGTGCACCTTTCGTTGTATGCGTGAATTATACATGCATAAGATCTTTAAAGTATGTATGTATGTGTTGTTATTCACTGCTCTGGCTTTAGCTGGCAAGAAATTGATTTTGTTAGTTTTCTAGCGCAGATCATGACCTATCCCAAACTTGTGTTGATATATGAATGCATTTTGTGTACTGAGCATATGGCGTTACTCATCTTAGTGTGTATATTGTCTTTGGTTATACCATGCAATGAATAACAGTGATTCAAAGCTCTGTTATTGTGAATATGTATATACACACACTATTTACATATAGTCATATGCGTGTCTATTATGGATTCCTTAAATTTAATAAAAATTGTAATTGATTGTATGCTGCGTGTGTGCATTCGATGCTACTTTAGTTCCATGATTTCATTTGGTAGTGTCTCTCAGGGCGTAATGGGAAATAGGTCGGTTGTTTGGTCGAAATGTGAGCTCCATCCCAGAGGAGGAAAGTATTTTTTAAATAATGCATCTTGTATTCCCTCATGCATTAAATAGGTAAATATCTCAAGCAAATACGATCTTTTAAGGCCCAGGTGCGCAAGCGCGTAGCGCGAAGTGTAACAAACAAGGAAACTTTCTTTGTTGTTTGTTGGCCGCCGGTTACAAGTGTCTCAAGTCTAAGCCGACTCTTAGCTTGATTGAGCCACGCATCCGGTTACTATAAACGCGATGGCTGTCCCTGACCTCCGCAATGCTGCCTGTTGGCTACATTTAGTAAGCTCATTCATAATCAGATTTTAAGTGACGTTGTTTTTGTCGTCGTTGACAGCGTGAATTGGATCAACATTTAGCTTAAATGTAGTATGAATGAAAATGTAGTATGAATGAAAATAAATTATATATGCTTTTATATGCCAATTTACTCAAAACTTTTTTATTATTGTAAAAATTTAGTCATATATATTATAGCCAATTTGAGTTTGTGTCAACTTTAAGCTCAAAACTTAAATATCCTTAAATTATTAAAACAATCGCTTATCAACCGTTCCTATTGGCTAGAAACACGTGTGCTCACCAACGCATACGCACGTGCGTAAGTGGCAAACTCTCTTTGCATATAAGTTAATACAAGTTCTTTTTGAGACGGTTCTAAAGAACCTACTCCTCCTCTAAGAGTAGTTAATTTTTGTTATTTCTACGTAACCTTTAATAAGCCTGCGGTAATATCCAACATGCCTACAAATAAACTAACTTAATGAAATGTTTCTGGCTTAGGAGGCCTAATTATTGCCCTTAGGTTGGTTCTTAAACCGTCTTTGCTGATTGCGAATCCGATAAATTCGAAATTATCGTTTTTAAACTCGCATTTGTCTAATAGGCATTTGAAATTGGCTCGTTCGAGCGTCTTAAAAACTAATCGTAAGTTGTTAAAATGCTATTTTGTTTTTAGGAATATTGCGATAAACATAGCAACGTTTTCCTATGGGTGCTCTTCATATGTCATCAAAACTTCGTTGAAATATGGCTGGGGAGTTGCGTAGGCCGAAGGGGAGTCTTAGGACTTCAAATTTTCCGCTATTAATTGAGAAGACTATCTTTTCTATGTCGGACATAATCGATAACTTACTCCGTTTCCAAGCAATCAATAAAAGTCGATATCGATATCCTGTTTTTTGGGCAATTTTTGTAAATAATAAGAGCTAGAGTCACGAAACTTGACATATAAGTAGCTTCTAAAATAGAATATATATATGCATTTGATGTTGGAAGAAGAGGGTTCAGGGTATACCCTAGTCGGGAGCTTCCGACTAGAACCTCTTACTTGTTTTCTTACGAGGCTTAAGCTCGGTTACCACTGAATTCCATCAGGCTTTTTCTATTTAATCTTCCATCTTTAGCCAACCAACTTTTTTTCTTACGAGGCTTAAGCTCGTTTACCACTGAATTCCATCAGGCTTTTTCTATTTAATCTTCCATCTTTAGCCAACCGTAGGACAATTTTCCGTGTTATCTTCGTACACAAGGTAATTATTGGAATCATCAATTATCCTTTTCTGTTAGGGGGTATTTAATACCCTGCTCCCTCCAGACCTACAGGAAACCACCGCTCTTTATTTCGACCAACATGGACGACAGACTTCGCATTGCATTACTCATTTCGTGTATTATTCTCCACAGAATCCTCTGTAATCCTTTCATAATCATTGATTAAGGAATTCTACCAACTATCATTATAACCTATTTCAAATGCGCTTTTATTTTTATTCCTTTTTTTCTCTATATTTTCTGCCTAATTTATATTCTAAAATTATATAGTTTTCTTATATTGCTTTCATTTTAATGTTGGAAATCTCTTTTAATTTCTAATACCAAATTTAGTTGTGAAGAAGGGCATATCTGGCCGGATGGATGAAATGCCATTTTATTCCACCTTAGGCACCAACATACATGAGATCCCCGGAATTCGATTCAACTCTTAATGCATATAACCGCTTGAATAAGATCTTAATATAATAAATAATTATATTCATAAAACTAAGCCCGACCGGATCGACTACAAGCTGGATGTAAAGAAACATATTAAAATTTCTATTTGACACTACTTATCATATAACCGCCTGTAATCGTCGTCTAACCGAACATATAAAATTAAATTTTGCGAATTGCGAAAAATTTGATGGTTTTTTTTTTGAGTATAGATTGTCAAACTTTACATTTGGTATCACTTACTTTGTTCAAATGTTAGCTGTTTTTCAGGCATTCTGAGCATTGCAGCGTTAACTATTGTTGGATCAGATCGACCTTTAGAATTATATGCGGAAATTGATAACACATATGTATTGCCAGGAACGAGTCCAGAAACTGTAAATCTAGGCACAGCTGATGTGATATTTGCTTTGATTTCCTAAAAAAAAAAAATTGTTGTTAGTACTTAGAATAAAACAAGAAAAAGTAATATAAAAGTATATATATTCTGAAGTGCCCGACTAGTGGATTGCCCAAACCTTTTTATACCAACATTTAAGGTTGTTCCATCTTCTGGAGCAGAGCACAGAACTATCTTGAATCAAACTGAGCAATTCGCTACCGGCTCACACTCTAAAGTCACACAAAGAATTTAGTTTTAAAGAGAAATACTTTAAATAATACAATCACAAATGCAATTCAATATATATTATTAAAAATATACGTGCGTAATGGGAATTACTCTCTTCATTAATTAATACTTCATGCTGGATTCCTTATAGTATGCTTCCGGGGAACCTGTCTTGCCCAGCACAGCGTTGTGACACTTTGTTGCAATGCTGATCTTGCGCTTTAGCAGGATGTTCGCTGCGATAGTTTTCACTTGACTTGCTGTAACAGCAGTTTCCCATATACATGTTGCTAACATAAAGCGAAATGATTGTTTTACCTTTAGCTTAAGCTTTAGAAATAAAGATACAGAGATTTCATTCTGGGATATGCAAGAGAAGCTTTATATGTGTTGTTATACTGTTACTTTATAAAATCAACTAAATAACTGACTGCCAATAACTGTTAACTGACGCAGACGCTCAATGAACAAATTTACAATCCCATGGACAATCCCTAGTACCAAGGGCCAAAGACTAAGGATGAATATGATATTAACTCTAATTTTGTAGTAGTAGAGATCACAATATGTGGAATCAAACCAAACAACTTGTTCCATGCGGTCTTTTGGGCTCAGCAACGAATGCGGCTCTCTACGTTCCAACAGCAATGGTGGCAAACAGTGATAGACAACCGCGAGTTGCATGAAACATTGAACGTTGTTGAATAAGAAACTGAAGCAAGTCGTTTAAACGCATCAATACACTAGATGCAACTCGAATTGGTTAGTATAGGTCACTGAGCGTGCGGTAAAAGTCATAGCGGCAGTCCGACGGTTGTATCAGTAAAAACGTTCGAAAATGTACGTGGGCAAACCACATCGTATCACGTAAGGTTCATCATAATACAGTGGACAGAGACGCCAACAAGGCAAAGAACATGTAAAAGCATCCAAGCCAATAAAGGCGAACAAGGCGAATATAATTTATATTCACACCAGCCAATAAAGGCAGCGAACAAAAGCAATGAAATCTAATTAATATGAAAACAAGTTAAAAAAAGTTTTTTAAAGATAAAATAAGTGACAACTGTAAGGTGCACCAAACGCTGGACGCGGATCAGTTCATTTTTCAAAAGGCCACTGAAGCAAGATATCAAACGCATCGAAACTCTGGATGCAACTTGAACTATTTCGTATAGGTCACTGAAGCGTACAATAAAACTCATAGCCACTTCACTCGATTTACGCTGCCAATACTATTAGGCAAACGAAATAAAATCAATAATGTTTCCCAATAAATACAATAAAAAAAAAGTAAGTAAAAATTAACATTTTTCCCAGCAAAAACAGTAAGTAAAACAAAATAATAAACACACACACATATGCACATTTTCCTTCCATTTTGATACACAAACTACCAATTATAGAAAGCTACTGAATCGTTTACAACAATCGAATCATAGCATGAATATTTTTACAAAAATATATAAGCAAAAAAAATACTATTATAACCAATTGCAGATACTAAACACACAACAATAAGGGAAGAGAAGGGAAGAGACACAGGCACAATACACTCCACATATGTATATATCAGCTTCAAATAATTCTTATAACATACACACACTACACACAATTATATCTAAATATTGCTTAGCCTGATTAAGTCAAAATTACTTAAGACCTTTCAAACAACGGTAAAACTAGAAAAACTAACTTAAGATAGATAAACCAAGACACAAACTTCAAATTAAACATTCACCGTTATCAAAATTAAATATCTACTGTTGGAGAAGTTTAAAAACTTATCGTAAGCATTAGGAGTTGGATCAGGATTAGTACTAGTTTATCTGAAATTAGGAAATACCCCGACCAACAACTCCAGACAGTGACAAGAATACCCTCAAAATCGTCAATGACTTCGACTTCTAGGTATCGATTTTTATCGATTGCTTTTTAACGTAGTAAGTTATCGATTATCGGAAGCAAGCTCGATCTGCGCAGGCATTAGGAGGACTAATAGCTAAATTTCCTACCTCTTATAGGTTCTGAGTTGATCAAGAATATATATATCGTTAGAGCGGAGATGCTTCCCCCTGCCTGTTATATAGATTTGCACAAATACATAATTTTTACCCATTTTTAATGCGTTCAAGGTATCAAAATAGAGATAAGTGATTGATTACAGAAAACTGAATAAAAAGACCGTTAAAGTTAAAATCCCATGCCAAATATTAGCGGCGTTTTCGACAGGATAGGTAAAGCCAAATACTTTACAGCTTTAGATTTAGCAAGTGGAAAGCAAATCAGTCTTTTTGGCAAATCTGAATTTGTTGAAATGCTCTTTGAGCTCTCAAACGCCCCAGCTACCTTCCAAAGAGTGTGGAGAACATCTTAGCAGACCTTAAAGGTATCATCATCACTCCAAGAACACGTCAATGACCTAAAATAGGTGTTCAACAGGTTAAATAGAGCGAATTTAAACCTCCGGTTACTATAGCAACTTCGTAAATAATTTTCGCAGCAATCACTAAGCCCTTAAGACAACAACTGGAAAGCAAAGCCACAGTCAGAATAGATGACGAATAAAGTAAGGCATTTGAAACTTGCTAAGCTCTGATATACAGCCCCCGATCCTTCAATATCCTGATTTCAAATAGCCGTTTATACTTATAGTAAATTCCCCATTCGGACAGTCTCGTCTCAGAGCACTATTAACCATGACAAATCGTTGTCGTTCGCTAACAGAACTTTATCGGAAACTAAGATAAATTACTCAACTGCAGAGATGGAAATGTTAGCCATAATCCATACGAAGGAAAGTACAGTTACTCGAGTATGACTACGAGATAAAATACAAGAAAGGACCCCAAAACGTATTAGCTGACGCTCTTAGCCGCGTCACTGGCGACGTAGATATGAACGACGTCGCTTCCCCCATTTTCAAGAATAACTAAGCGGGACTGTGTTAGACAACCCCGATTTCAACCAAACCTCCAAATTACTTTTTTTTTTAATTCTGTTTATTACCAGATCTGGTAAACAAACCTTTAAACGAATTTAATGTAAAAACGGTATTCAAAGTTGGAATACAACTCCATGCCTTTCAAAAACAATATCAGAAGAACGATATCAGAAACCCATTACGATGGGAACAAAATAACTAATATCTTAAAAGGGATCCCTAGACAGTCAAAGCTATTAAATAATATTTTAAAGAAAACTTCGTACCAACCTAATTATACAAGGTTATTAACCGATAACTGACCCAAACTAACAAGGACAAAAAATAAACCGATATTATGTGGCTAGCAATCACAGGGGAATAGATTAAACAGTAGCCCATTTGTGAAGATCCATATACTTCCCATTATTAAACACCACAACTTCGCACATTTTTAATGACTGCGACATTTGATAAACACTCGAGACCGACACATTCGGAATCATGCAAAAACGTATTTGCATCAAGGTTCTGAATTCACAAACATACTTGTTAAGGATTTTCTTCGCAACGCTTACAACATACCATAATTCAATCCACTCAACAACAAAACACACAACCTACGAGATTTTCCACGGAAGACCGTAATACCAAAGATAATATAAACACTAAGATAAGTAACGCCCATACATTTGAATGCGACGCAAAATTTCTAGCCTGGCCTTTCCACTGGCCTTTGAGACTTCGTACGGCATGTCTGCCGACTGGTTGTTCGTTCTCCAAAGATCAGACGAACGAAAGCCGAAGTCGCGGCTGGCTGATGCTGACACGAGATACGAAGTTAGTCGCCAGCCTGCCTTCAGCAAAGCTGGTCGAGATTGCTTTGCGTCGCTTCGTTTTCGAAGTACATTGAGCGAAAAAGTTTAGAACTTACGATCGACGCAAAGTGCTTGAGCTATATCCATGAAATGCATGCTTTATTTAAATGATATATTACCCTAGATATTAACAAATAATTTTACAGGAAAATTAAAGAGCTTTTATAATTTTTACACAAGGCCCTTCTTGCGCAATAACTATGTTAAGAAAATAGCACACATAGATTGATATCACTTTTCTTTTTGGAAAGTGTATGCTCGAGAAAAGTTCTTGTCTTAGCCAACAGCGTGCGTGCGCCTTTCGTTGTATGCGTGAATTATATATGCATAAGAACTACAAAGTATGTATGTATGTGTTGTTATTCATTGCTGTGGCTTTGGCTGGCAAGAAATTAATTTTGTTAGTTTTCTTACGCAGATCATGACCTATCCCAAATTTGTGTTGATATATGAATGCATTTTGTGTACTGAGGTTGGCTCCGCAGAAAATATGTATTTCTAAGTCGAGCCAGAGACTTTGCCAGAGCAGTGGATAACAACACATCCAAATATGCTGTTATGTATGTATATTAACACGCATACAAACATAATTGCGTGCGCGGCCGTCACAGAGCCGAAGCTGAGAGCAAGTTCTATTTTTAGCTTTTTCGTTCTCTCAGCTGTGAGAGCACAATGCTACAGATTTCGTTTTCGTTCTAAATTTTCAAAAAATCAAGCTGCATAGTAGCATTTTGTTGTATGGCGTTACTCATCTTAGTGTTTATATTGCCTTTGTTAATACTATCTACCTCGACAAAAAATAAAGCATAGAAAAAAATGAAAGATGGAATATTAGGGATAGGGAACATTTTTGTATTACTTTCAATAGGGTATTCCTTAATCCCCTTATACCAACATCAAATTCAGGCCGCGCTAAGCGCTTGCTTAAAGTAATACAAGTAAATTAAAAAAAATGTTCCCTTAGCAGGGTGTGAACTCGCTACTGACCGCATTACTTGCTGTCGACT